TTTTCTGCACTCAAATTTCTTACCACGAATCTGACTCGTGTTCTTCGCGTTTTGATCTGAAGTCTCTCGTGTGAGACTCGTGCTTATTTTTTGTATTTTGCACTCAAATTTCTTACCACGAATCTGACTCGTATTCCTCATGTTTTAATCTGAAGTCTTACGTGTGAGACTCGTGCTTATTTTTTGTTTTTATGCACTCAAATTTCTTACCACGAATTTGACTCGTGTCCCTCATGTTTTCATCTGAAGTCTCACGTGTGAGACTCGTGCTTATTTTTTTTTCTCAATTTCTTATCACGAGTCTCACTCGTTGTTGTAGAACAATCGGTTAAAAAAATACAGTTCTTTTGTTGAATCAACAAATTAATAAGAAATTTTATCGTAAAAAATTAATGAATTATGTTAAAAAATATTATATTTATATATATATGATGCAATTTCAAAGTATTATACATAAAAATTTTGCAATTCTATCCTATCCACTCTAATTTCATATTTAGAATGTGAGAAGGAACACCTGATATTGAATATAGGATCGTTTGAAATTACTAAACTTACTGAACACATCGAGAAAAATATTCACTTACAATTAGGTTAGCCAATCATTTTACATTAGAAATGTAAGTACACCTTTTAGTATGATTATTCAATTGTAAAACGATTAACGCAAGATGAATAATATTATTACAGTTAAAAAAAAAAATACTAAAGCGAAAATAAACATAATTATCACAGTTAAATTATATTTTCTATATTCAATATTACAATGGAATAAAAATAGAACTGTAATATAATATATAAGTGTATAAAGTATTTACGTATTAACGCCATTGCAGCAAAATTTCGGCTAATGCGCTAATCTACACCATAAATTGTTGCGACAAATCATAGAAGAATAAAAAACTTGATTTACAATCAAAACACTTGAAAAATTCAAAACATTTGATTTATAAAAAGTAGTCCGATTTCGGTGGAAACCCTAACGAGAAACCCTGACGCAACCCTGACGGTTGGTGTGTGCAAACAATAAGGTTGTTGTGTGCGAACAACAAAGATTGCTGCAATTTTTGCTGCAATGGCGTTAATACGTAAGTACCGTGTATAAATATATCTATATATATTCAAATAAAATTAAAAATAACAATTTGTTGATATAATTCAATTACTTTCGAAGATACAAAACGTTAACAATGTAATATATATATATGTAATTATATTTAAATGATTTCAATGATATGACAAATATATATGTATATATGTTAAGTGCAATTAAAAATACAATTTAATTCATATAATAGGACTACTTTGAAAGATACAAAAAATGTTAATAATAATAATAATAATATAAATATATAATATAAATATATATATTTATGAATGATTTCAATGATCTGAAAAATATATACGTATATATTTTAATGCAGTTAAAAATAAAAAATATATTTATATAATATCACTATTTTCGAAGATATAAAAAATTTTACTAATATATATATATATATAATACTATATATTTCTAATGATTACAAAATGATATACATAATTATTAAAATTTATGAAACAAATAAATGTCGTTTCTTCTTCTTCTTCTTCTTCTTCCCAAGAATAAATTATTTAGAAAAACGACATTTATTTATAACTCATTGACAATATAATTATTTTCTGAGAGATATAATAAATTAGATTAGACTTATTAAAATAAGTAATGATCATAGATAATAAAAAAAAATATTCTATCTTAGTGATTATGAAAATGATTAGAAATATTAATGACGAGATCTTATTACGCGTTTCAAGTTCGTAAAGTAATAATAGTAGTGACGATGTCATATGATATTTTTCACATAAGTAAATATAAAAAAAAAAAAAAAAATACATTTTCTCTACATTTTTTTTTTTATCTCATAGAATATATCTTCCATTTGAGTAGATAAAATGCAGTAAGACGTGTTATCAAGAGTATTATCGTTAAAGCAATGATGTCGTTCCAAAATTGATCACCGTTCATTGCTATGTCTGATAAAAATTTACTAGGATATTTATAATGGCAGTATGTAAGCTCATCACTTTTACTGCATGGTAAAACGTCACGATCCATTCCATATATAGCACCAACGAATCTAAAATGATCAAAATTATTTGCATTATTATTAATACAAAACATGTGTATACATAAATATTGAACAAATGTCCAAGAAATGTAGAACATGTAGAACATGAGCACAAATATACAGGGGGTCTTTCATCATCTAACTGGATTTATCTTAAATATATCATTTATATTGTACAATAAAAAAAAAAAAAAACACTTGAATTTTTATCGAAATTTCAAGATCATTGCAATATTGTTTTTTACTTAAACGCGATTGCATCTTTTCAATGCAACAATCATATAATTTATAAAACTAACTAATTCAACGAGAGGTGCAACATGTTGGCCTGTTATCGAGAAAATTGTTAAATGTTGTTTCTTGTACGAGAAAACATTTTGTACTTTTAGAAATGTCTTACAGATTGATCAACGTTTCACAATTTTCTTAATAATAGTCACTTGAAAAGGCCCAACATGTTGCACCTCTCGTTGGATTAGGGTTTTTTTCTTTTTTATAAACTATATCAATGTTACAATGAAAGTATGCAGTTTCGTTTAAAGACAATACGATAATGTTGAAATTTCGAAAATATGTTTAAAGTGGTTTAATTAAGTGAATAACCTTGTATACGTTATAAATTATGTATATAATGATCATGTATTTCATAGATTATCTGTGTGATTATTCTATAGAATACCCAAAGATTTTCGGTCAATCTATAAAACGTATTCCAATTGGCTGTATTTAAATTACCAGTGGAGGGGATAATTATTTAATTTCCATAGCTCTTTTTTCTAGATTATTATAAATTAAATGAAACCTGTTTAAAGATATTGTTTCAAATTTCATGATGTGTGTTTCACTTAAACAAGTTTAAAACAATTCCAATCATATATCACAGATTGACCATAACCTTCAAAGGCATATACTATAAATTAATCAGATAACTTTTAAACAATGTTTTATTTATATAAATATACGTACCCTTCCAAACCATATCTCAAAAAACTGACATAAGTACCCCATTTGAGATAAATTGGCAAATCCCTTAATGATACACCAAATCCAGCAAACATCATCAAAGGTACCGATAAAGATGGTCCCACGAACGTACCGTTCTACAATTATTTATTATTCAATTGATTATATCCTTTTTTTTTTTCTTAACAGTTTAATTAACAATTAATCATTTCAAATGAAACTTATAAACAAAAAATCTATTACTTACGACAACATTTAATACAGCACCAATCATCAAGCCAGTACCTTGAGCTATGAAAGAAATGAATAAACTAATAGCAAAAAACATGGAAAACCTTCCAATTTCTAAAGGCTGAGCCGAAATTGGATATATTATTATTGTAAATAAGAAACAACATATTGTTGATAGTGGTATATCTAGTATCGTTATTGTCATGTAAAATGCTTTTAAATTGTACCACCTATTGAAATATTCTTTCATGAGTCTATCAAGTTGCATTGGAACTGAAAATAAATAGATTAAATTAATCAATATTTAAAATATACATATATAATATTCTTAATTAATTTTTTATTAGAGTGTATCAAAAGTTCGTAGATTTTGTTGTTAATTAATATTCCCAAAGTCCCACTAGTCCCCCGTTCGGATCTCAAGGTGGAGACTACCTTGGGGAATTCGTGTCGAGTAAAGTCAAAATGTCGGAAGATTTTAATGTCCATTAAAACAGGGGGACACATTGTCACCCCTTTTGTTCAATTTAGTACTGGAATTAGTTGTCAAAGAACTGCAGTAAAGTAAAAATGGTTTACAGTTGAACGGAACAACACAATTGTTGACATACATGGACGATATTACTTTGTTGGGGGACAATGAAGAGGCATTAATTAATATCGCAAAAGTATTCATAGATAATACTAAAGATCTGGGTGTGGTCCAAAATATTGGTCGGTATACCAAACGGGAAAAGACCACTGGGTAGACCGAGACGTAGATGGGAGGATAATATTAAAAGGAATGGAAGGATCGCGCTCAGGGACGGGAACAATGGCGGGATTTGGTATTTGCGGCAATGAACTTTCGAGTTCCTAATGCCAGTTAATAATAATAATAATAATAATAATAATAATAATAAAGTAAATAAAATCCAAAATAAAAAGCAGTTTCAAAGTTAAACTTTCAACACAATAAATGAACTTTTGTTACACCCTAATATTTGAGACAATTTTAATTGAAATACTTACACGTTACTATAGTCAACATCATTGTAGTCATCATATGATGTATAAGTATAGAAAATAAAAGATTATAATTGTCCAATACTCTACTACCATCATCTCCACAACTACTAAATACCATTCCAAGTAATAATCCTATCATTATATTGACTCCTACACGAAGATAAGTTAACGACTGTAATAAATATGTAAAAATTATTAATTAAAACAAATCATTAAGATCTATCGATCTTGATTATTTACATATCAAGTAAATATACATATATTCAAGATAAAACTATAAAAAGATAATAAAATCAATGAATATATTTACCACGTCTCTTTTATACATTATTAATCCTCTTTTCAATAATGTATAAACTTGATTGCTCAACGGTGTAACTTGCGATTCGGGTGACTTGTTTAACCTTTTCAATTCTTTTAAGGGATGCAAAGCTGAAAAATATTCAAATCGTACAATTAATTATATATTTATGTAAATTGATCTTAAAAAGAAAGGTTACGAAAACCGTAAATGGAGGGATTAATCTTAAGGACGAGAACACTGGCAGAATTTGATATCTTCACAATGAACTTTCGAATTTCTAATCCCAAATAATAATAATAATAATAATAATATCTATGGTTATTAATATTTCGATTAAACAAATAAATAAAAATATATATCAATCGTCATATTTATAATATATTTCTCATGAATTTTGTTAACCTTTACCAGGGATCGGCAATCTTTTGAGTCGAAAGAGCTAAAAATTACAATTTACAAAATTTCAAAGCTTTTAAAACAGCTACCAAACTTTTTCTTGCCAACAATAAATCGTACTCGCATAATTAAAGCTAATCTTCTATGTTAATCGATTCAGAACGACTTTTAAATGTTTTTATTTTTATTTTTACTAAACTCTTTCAACTAAAGAGCCGCAGTTTCACATCCAAAGAGCCACATGTGGCTTGCGAGCCGTAAATTGCCAACCCCCCCCCCCTGTGACCTATACCCTTAATATATTAATATATTATTAATCATTTTGTTGTCCTATATCCCTTTAACTCTCACAATAAAATAAAGTAAGCAAAAAAAAAAATATCGAGAAAAAATTGAACAACAACGTGTCTAACTCGTGCTTATTGTTTTACATACAAATTTTTTTTTATCACGTATCTCATTCGTTGTTTTAAATAAAGGAAATTAGGATTATAGGTGTGTACTTATATATGAAATGTGATGAAAACAAATTTTTCTCACCTCTTAAAGTTTTCGCATCTTTCAATGCCTGATGATCTTCGAACCATTGGACATTACGACCATTTTCCGAATTGTTTATCAATGTCGTTAATTTATCATCGCCATATTCGCCACATGCCAATTCAATTACTGTTTGATAATTAAATTACAAAATATTATTACTAATTGTTCACTTAAAGGGAATTATTCTAGTGTGTTTCATAAATAAACAATTGATTTTTAATATGAAATGTTTTCAGCATGCTGTAATACAAAAAGAAAAAAAAAAAGGTTTAAATAAATAATTTAAGATGTTAATTTTGAAACGAGTATAAATATAATTGGTAAAAAAAAAAAATGAATGCAGTTGTTGATTCATTGCAGTTTCTTTGAAATTCAATTTCAATTGCAATCAAAAATTGCATTGTGATCACACTAGAACGTATATCCCCTTTTGAATGTATTCATTAAAAATAAAAACCAAATAGATATAAATAAATAATATTTACTATAATCCGTAGGATTATGATAAATCGGGCAATGTAAGTTCATCGATTCCAAATATGGAAGTAATTTCTCTGTAGATCCTTGATAAAGGCAATTTCCTTTACCGAGTAAGTAAATCTGTACAATAAAAATTCAAATCAAAAAAAGAAAAAAAACATTAACTTATTTAGATTCGTTTAAATTTAAACAAAAAATATTCAACAACAAAAAAGGTACCTTAAGGTGTTACGACCCACATTTAATAATATTACCAAAAAATGAACTTGTTTATTAACAAATTATGAATACTTCATTTATGAATACTGTAAAGTCAAAACTGATAACTAAACGACAAAGTTTAGTGTCAAATATATATTCTATTAATTCGAAAACATTGATACAACCTTCAGTTAAGTCATAAACACCTTTTACTAAATGCATTAACAAAAAATAATAAAAGAACAAACAATTATCTTGTTACTTACATGATCAAAAATTTTAAATATCGAAGCACTTGGCTGATGAATTGTACAAATTATTGTTCTTCCTTGCCTGGCAAGAAGTTTCAACAATTTTACAACTTGCATACACGACGAACTGTCTAATCCTCTGAAAAACAATAATAATAATAATTAATCAATTAATCATTCGCACCAAACAAAACTGACACTTTCTTTTTTCTTAATGGAATAATTAATAATGGTTATTAATAAATGCTTGGCTTACGTTGTTGGTTCATCCAAAAACATAACTGTAGGATTATTAACCAATTCCAAAGCCATTGACAATCTCTTCTTTTGTCCACCGCTTAATCGGCCCGTGCTTGTATTCATATGCTCATATAATCCCAAGGTCGTTAGTATCTCTTCGATCTACGAATTTCATTAATTTTTCTTTCTTTTATGTTTTTTTTTGTTCTTTACATGATTATTATTAATATTGCAAAAAATCCAACGAGTGTTCATCAAGTATTCGTACATCAATCAATTTCAACAGCATTTTTTTGTTGAAAACTATTAGCAAATTATACGAGTAACAAATTGTTGTAATTGGGTGGCCCAACTTGTTCCTCAATTTGTGCCAAATGTTCCCCAGGTAATATTTGCATAAATCAATCAATTTGAACAACATTTTTTTGTTGAAAACTATTAGCAAATTATACGAGTAATAAATTGTTGTAATTGGGTGGCCCAAATTGTTTCCCAATTTGTGCCAAATGTTCCCCAATTTGTGCCAAATGTTCCCCAAGGAATATTTGCATAAATCAATCAATTTGAAGAAAAATTTGTTCGTTAAAAATTATTAACAAATTAATTAGGTGGCTCGAATTGTTTCTTAATTTGTGCTAAATGTTTTCTAATGAGAATTTAAATTTTCAGAAGGTTTGGAAAGAAACTTTTCAAAATTGGAGAATGTTGAAATTCGCATGATCAGCACAAAGCAAAAATATGTCGTTGAAAGTTCTAACATTTGATTTTATTATTGTACATTCTGCAATTTCGATCTTTCTCAGAAGGTTTGGAAAGAAACTTTTGAAATTAGAGAATGTTGAAATTCACATGAACAGCACAAAGTAAAAATATGTCGTTGAAAGTTCTAACATTTGATTTTATTTTTGTACATTCTGCAATTTCGATCTTTCACCATAACCTATAAACATATTCTTAGAAATCTCACTGATATAATGATGTAATATATAAAAATAGAATAATTTGTAAGAATCCTATAATATGTAAACAAAATGTATATCATTCGTTTATAAATAAAATAAAAAACATGTATAATCAATCTATCAATCTTATTTTGCAACACTTTTAAATGTTTCATTTATGAAATTGACTTTGATCAAAATGATAAAACAATTTCAATGAAATGTAATGATTGAAAAGAGATGAAAATTTCATAACAAAATATCCATTTTAGTTTATAAATTATTATTGTACTGTATAATTATCGAATGTATAATGATATCACTTGAGATAAAAAAAAAAAAAAAAACTGATGTCAAGTTACACTCAACGTTGACAAATGCAAAGTTTCTAAGATAAATATGTGTGTTTAGTTTTTTTTTTTTTTTT